GACCTGGCTTCCAGGCGGGTGCTACTTGGTGTGCAGACTTATTTGTTGTTTACCTTAACACTGACAGTACCCCATACCTGACCAGAGTACTCCAATCCCTGCCGAGTCCACTTGAAAAAGTGGTCTTGAGTACAGTTCATGTGTGCTCCGGCACAGTATCAGGTGTGAACACCAACTGTTCAAAAACATGGAAGTGGAGTGCTGTTTATCACAGCTACAAGGAATTTTTAACCAGTTAAGAAGCAGTCTAGATCCGACTTCACAGCCACAGTCGACCTACACTCGGAGCTCCACTTGGAGGCAGAGAACTCTGCACCCGACAGCAGAGCTTCGCCTTGCTGCTCCGCCTGCTGATAACGGTCTCCAGGGCAGCAGTGTCTGTGTCAGTGGCACCTTTTTCTACATCATACCACAACAACATGTCACATACATGATGCCGCAAGTGTACTCGGGTACAGAACAATACTGCTAATGTGAACGCTGACTAGTGGGGGAGTAGAGAAGGGGGGCAATCACCATACGAATCAGTCGTACTTATATGAAAACGCCCTAAGCTAACAGTCTCAGCAGGAGGGCGAATAGTTTGATTCCAGCCCAGTTAGCCTAATTTAGCACAAATCAGCTAGCATGTAATTTCCTGTCTCTTTTTTAATTTCTGTTTGTGTCCAAATTAAACAAATAAAATACACTGTGTTAACTGATGAGCTTTAGAGATGCTGTAGGGTGTATTTTTAAACCACCTGCTGGCTCTAACTTCATATTTGGAGTACAGACATCTCATCTAACTCCCTGTAATATTTCCCAAAATGTAAAGTCTCTTTTAAATCTATTCAGTGACAAACTTTTCTCTCAACTTGTGTTTGCAGAGTTTGCAACAGAACTCAAAACACGACCGCATCGATAATTGAATTGTGTTCGAGCTCAGGTCTGTAAAGTGATTTCAGAGGAGCTGAGGTGTCTGACAGGCAGCAAGATCGGATCAAGTGACAGCGAGCGCTGCAGTTGTACTCGCATTGCAGACCACAGCACATTAGCAAATCAATACCACTGCCAGCACACTCAGACACACACACACACAGAGCGCATACCAGCAGCAAACTGATGGGACTGCAATTGTCTGTTTGAGTGGGTGTTTCAATATAAGCTGAGTAGACATTTAGCAGCTGGTTATGTAACTGCTCCACGTTTTACAATTTCATCACACAGGAATGTTTTTAAAATCCACTCGGCATATGTTCACACTCTGAATCTTGTGTTTTTCCTCCTTATTCTCTGTTTGCTGTTGTCTTCATATCATATTTACTCTAGGTTCAAACACTTTCATATTGATCCTTTAAAGTGCTTGGATGTTTTTTTTTTATTTAATATCTGACGTGGAAGACCCTGAGCAAACACAGGAGTACATCACTTCATCATATTTTGTGTCCACAGTGGGTTTAATCGCTTCTTTTGTATGATAAAAAAAAAGTGATTTATAGTGAATGCAGATTGAGGCAGATTATTTTTAATTAACAGTTGTCACGTTATAGAGAGGTTTAGATTCATTGCAGATAAATAAACAGAAACAAATACTGCACATCATATTTTGTGCACTGTGTATTAGATCTTGTGTTGTATTTCTTTACACAAACAGCTATCAAAGGTAATTTTATCCACTGCGCACTTTATTAATCCCAGTGGGAAATTACAGCGTTACAGCAGCCAAGTCACTCATGAATCACTAAGCAGAAGGAACATGAGGACACAACGAGGTAAATAGGAAAAGAGAGACTGATAAAAACATGCATAACTCAAAACTCAAATCTCAGAAAAGTAGGACAGTATTTTAAATAGACACAAAAATAATGCGTTGTTTCATCCACTCTATTTAGCATTTATAAACAGCATATAAGCACTTACCAAATGGTTTATAACTCACAATAATTATGTTGTTAGCAGATATAAGTTTTAATAATGTATTTGTCAGCAACTACAGCTCCTCCTATGACTACCAAAACAAAGAATCTGGTGTATGCACAGATACTAAATGAGTAAAACAAATCTGCAATTATATAAAATATGTCTTTACCGTAGACTTTATAAAAAAAATGGACATAGCGACTCTGACGTCACTCATTGGTTTGCAGACTCCAGTTTTGAAGCCTCAAGTTCGGCATTTTTCTCGTCACCACCTTGTGTTTTTGGAGCCAGAAGTGACCATAGTTGTGTCTTAATTCAGGGGCTGCAGCCTTCGAAGACCGATTGCGTCACATTGGCGCAACCAAAGCTGTCCCATTTCAAAGGCTCCTTCAAATGCAGCCAAGACATGCAGCCTTCTTTCCCAGAATTTAGAGCATGCAACGGATGAATCCTTCGTGGCCCAGTCTATCCCAAGATGCATACAGTTGTTAACTAGCTAACGGTTAACTGCTGTTAACATTATAATTAAAAAATAACTAAAAGCACACAGCTTAAACAATCTTAACTTAATAAGTTTAGCTGAAAACAGTCCTCTATTATCTTGAAATATATCAAACAGTGGTGTCTCCGGCTGTGAATCGTCTCCTGGAGTATTAAACTTAAAAAAAAAATATGTATAATAACAATCTCTGGGTCCACGATCAAGGCTAACTAACTTACTAGCTTACTCCTTCTTTCGTCAAGCGCAGCTGGTTGCCAGGTAGGAGAAACGCCAACAAGTTGGGGCAAGAACAACTAGTGATGCAACCAGGAAATCCTCTGCAGACCAGACCGTCTCATTTCAGTGCCCTTTTGGTTTAGATGATGCAGTCTTCAAAGAACGTGGCCAACATAGACCACAAAGGCCGCGTCCTTTTAAAGGCTGCAGCCCCTGAATTGAGACACAGCTCATGGGTGCGTTCCAAATCACATACTTTTTCTGTTTCCTTTTAGTATGTGCTGTCATCTGTCATTGTGACTTCTGATGCTGTCAGTCAGCTGTTATATGTTTGCAGCTTAGTCGATGTGACGTATCGTCCGCTGCGCAGAGGATTGTGGGTCAGAACGGCCGGAAAAGCATGCTGGCTGGCATACTGAAAAATCAGACCGAATGTAGTAGAACATCCTGGGATTTTTGGCACACTGCATTTGACATTCTAAGTATTGGGACATACTGAATCTTTTCCTGCATACTATATAGCATGGTAGTATGGATATTGGAATGCACAGCATGTTTGCCGTTGAGAGGGTGGATCTGACACATATGCTGTGTCTCAAATCGCGTACTTCTGTACTTACACTTAATATTTTGAGTGCATAAGTGCGTTCACACTGAGAAGTATGGAAAAATGCAGTGCACTATGAGTACCTGGATGGTGCACTCAAAATGGTCAAGAAGTTGAGTGTGGAACTATGGACACTTCTTGCTCTCAATGGTCGCTATCGTGGCTACATAGCAGAAGGGGAGGGACCACTTTTCAAACAGGAAATGGTGGCCGAGGACTGTGCGACCGTGAACATCGCTGCATTGTACAAATACATGTGTTTATTGCACTAAGCACCACTATGCTGTTGTCGGGTATAAGCCAGCTGTATGTTTATTGGGTTAATTTAGCAGTCTGTAATGATTTGGTACCACGAACGATAACGCGAATGCTAATGCTAGTTTGCTAACTAGCCAATTTGTGGTCGTCATTTCCGGTGAGTGCACAACGGCCGTGTTTGGTTTGAGACAACACTTACCTGTCGAAATTTGCGCAGTACACCAATGAATACATAGTGCACATGGTATACTACATAGAAGTACACTTACGGAAGTATGTGATTTGAGACACACCAATAGACTGTTACGAGGCCTCACAGGCAGCCTGTCACTCAAGCTGTCCCGCCATTCAACATGCGTAAGCCTTAATAAAATGTAAACGGGTGAGTTTTGTATAAAAATTCAATCCCGTATAGTTGTCTTGACGGAGGAAATTAGCTATAGAGACCAAAAACTTTTTTTCCCAACTCTTTTATTGGGGTTTTCAAAGTTAAACGGACAGTGGCAACAGAAAAAAAAACAAAAAAACAGTGAAAACAGAATGTCTGATACAAAAATATATAATATTTTCAACAAGTGAAAAATACTCTAAACGGTGAGTTGTCATACATGTAAAGAAGAAGACACGACTATGGCAAACAAATCTGCAAAATATAATTTTTTACAGATAAAATTTATTGTTCTATTTAACCCTCTGGACATGCCGCCAAATCACATGACCGATTTAAGATGACTTAGCAGCAAGATACTTCATAGGCCAAGTAAAACCAGACTTAGGATAAATAATTTACGCCATGCTTTTTCCTGAATATTGTCGTCATGTTTGGTGCGCGTTTGGTGCAGGAACAAACAGTAAAAACGGGCTATTCTAAGGAAATGCTTGCAAGCAAAAAAACGGCCAATTATACACTTGACCCCAAAGGATTAAAAAAGATTAATGATTAAAAAAAGAAAGCAAAAATTACTATTAAAAAAGAGGAGTGGGGACTGGGAGGATTTAGAAGGATGTCAGATGTTTTATGTCATTAAAGTAGGCTAGTTGGGGGAAGGTCAAGACCAAAATCAGTTTTTGTACCAGGCTGTAAACATGTTCATTTCAGCTTTAATGTCAGGCATTTGAACATAAGGGGTCTATGGGGATTAATTGGCTCAGCCAGCCTCAAGTGGCCAATAGAGGAACTGCAGCTTTTGGCATACACTACGTTGGCTTCATTATTCAGTCCCAGAGGTTGCTAATTTGTCTTACAGGAAAAGATATGAATACCAACAAGCACTATACATCAGTAAAACCTGTGAAAATGTCCTTATAGCTGTGTACAAGTAGATTATAGTGTTTTATAAGCCGTTTATTAATTAATCTAGTGTTGCCTAGTGTAGTCTAGTTAATGCTTAAAAATCTTAAAATCCTTCAGATGTTGGGTTTCATTCAACTTTAACTTAAATAAAATTGTTCAGTAAAAGTGTTGTCCCTGATGTCTGCCTCTCTGTCTGTCTCTCTCCCCTTTCACTCCTTCTTCAGGGGATCAGCAGTCTGTTCAGCTCACTGAAAGTAGTCCGGCTTCTCCGTCTGGGTCGGGTGGCCCGTAAACTGGATCACTACATTGAGTACGGGGCAGCTGTCCTGGTCCTGCTGGTGTGTGTTTTTGGACTGGCTGCTCACTGGCTGGCCTGCATTTGGTATGTTTATCTGCTGTTTCTTTCATACAGTTGTTAAAAAGGGAAAACAGACAAACATGTAGCATTTTAAGTAAGAGTTACCGCACATAAGTTACATAACACATTTTGATAGACTGCTGCCATCACTGTGACGCTCTTACAGCAGCGCCAATTAATATAATGAGGTCACTGATTAAGCTAATGAATGCATTAATTAGTAGTTTATTTTATGTCAACGTGCTTGTTTTCACGCATCAAAACGGTATGTTTTTTTTGTACCTTAAAGCCAGAAAGACTTGTAGTGGTTCAAGAGAATTTGTTTTTCTTCATTAATATGTAAATTTATGAAGCACAGGCCTCCGAAGTCTAATCAGATCATCTACTCTACAGGGGGCAAGTGTGGTGGAAGCACTGAGTTTCCATCATGTGTTGTGCTTGATTTATTATGTTTATGAGTATGTCTAAACACACACACACACAAACAGAAGCAGATGCCATCGTGACAACTTTATGTCCTGCATGCATTAAAACAGGGAAGATGTGTTCGATAGTTGATGATGAACACAAGTTTTTCCTCTCGAGATAGGCTTTTATGTCCGTACTGTGATGTACTCCAAACTACACACACACACAAAAAAAAAAAAAACACTTGCACACTGTTCACATACTTTCATGTCATGACAAACACTCGGCCCATCCCTCATCAATCAGGATTACAAGACATCTTCAAGTAATATATTCATAACCACAAAACTGTGTTTGTCTACAAGGTTTCAAACAATGTTAATATGCAGGATTTCATGAGTGTTTGTTCTCGTGGTTCACAGGCCGGCAGTCGGCGTCCCACGAGAGGCTCTCGCCAATATCATAAACATTATTTATTGGCCCACACAGTGTAATGACTCAGATAACAACAAGATAACAATAAAAATAGCTCCGGTACAGTATCGTTTCCCTCAAGGTGGTGTCTGTGGTTGCCATGGTCACAGGACAAGCCGCGCTATCGTGTTAAACCACCATCAACCATGACCACCAGAGTAGTAGATAAGAAAATCTAACTCCTGTTACACAAAATTCTGATTTTTTTTTTTTTTTTTTTTTTTTAGTTTTTTTTTCTCAATTCTTTTGCTTTTCTTGTGAAACAAAGTCGAGTTTTACCTCCTCTGGCATTTATACCTTCATACCGCCTTCATAAATATAGGAAAAAACGGCAATGAGCAAATTGGTATGAGGTGTCCCACAAATTGAAAAAAAAGACTGAGAAAATTATTTTTTTTAAAAATAGCAGAAAAAGAAAAAATATTGGGAAAACTATATTTATTATTATTATTGTTGTTGTTGACATAAATAATAATAATAATAAAAAAATCAATAATAATAAATATAATACATTTTAAAATTATCTTACAGCATTATTTTAATTTTTAAGCACTCTTTTGAGTTCATTTTCTTCTTTCTTTCTTTCTTTCTTTCTTTCTTTATTTTTCTTTTCTTTCTTT